TGACACGTAGATTGTACAGAAAACCAACCAATTAATAACCACATAAACGGCTGGAAGTAAGTCCACAGAATGTGAGGACAGGCCAAATACCGACCTTATCAAAGAAGGAAAACTCTTGCAGTGTTCCATATTTTCCCACCGTCGCTACTGACAGATCTTTGGTACCTCGCAGTTTCATTTTCTTCTGTTAAAAGAGCAAACAGTTATCCTTAAAATGTTGTGACTCAAATGCTATCAAATTCACTTCGCTGGCATGTAACAGCTCTCTGGAAAGGCTGAAACTCAGTATTTCCCAAACAGGGGTCTAGCATTGCTGCGCCGAGTCCTCCACAACAACCTCTACCAGACGACTCCCCGCTAAGCAGAGGAAACAACCACAAAACAGGATTACTAGAGAAAGAATTCCAAACAAAGATTTATTTGTAGAAGCAATAAATTGTCCCTTCCAGGGCCAATACTTAGTACAGAAGATCTTGATATTTAGTATTCAACATGTTAGCACACACATTTAAGCACACTTTTAAAAACTCTCTCTTTCTACAGTAATTATTCTTAAAATAACTTTGAAATTTTGCTTCTCGTATCTAACACCTACATACCTCAAAAGACGCTACTCATTACACCTTTATCTAAGCAATTATCTAAACACAACAAGTAATACCAGGTTATTCTAAGTTTTTACTTCCTAAGAGGTACCTTTGCTGGGCCAGAAACAGGACGCAACAGCAGTGGTCTGGATCGCTTTTTGCTGTGTTCCAGATTCTTCTCATGCTCGTTTTTTTGGACGCTGTTCACTTCACATGGTCCATTTCCTGTGAACTGAAGTAAATAAATAATGATTTCAACGTCCTCTTCTCGATCCGCACACACAAAGGATCCTATCTAGCAGAACAGGACACCGAGTGAGCAGTTAAGTCACCTGCTGTGTGAAATTCCAAAGAATGAAGAGGAGCAAAGTTCATCTACTGGCTGTATGTTTTTCCATAATGTTTTGCATTCCTAAAGCTTCTTTATGCATTCTACTTACAAACAGAGAGTATTCAGTATTCTGCCTTGTTCTAAGCGTACACATACCAAAGACCTTTTCGCCTCCGGGAGGAACTGTCCAAACTCAGAAAGCAGATCCTCCTGTCCCCTGAACAGATTTGCTACTTCAGTGAACACTTCTTCCTCTGACATGCCTCGAAAGGGTCGGCCTTTAGTGTTCAGCTGTTCTTTCTGAAAAATATACGCACAGATGTCAAGCAGAGTCAAAACCACACCTCACTCTGCAAGAAAACTCATCAACTCAGCCAAAAACCCTATGCTACACCATCCTGAAATAACTATCAGATAGCCCACGGTTCTTACAGTGCATCCTTTCGCACAGAACATCACTAAATCAACCAAAGGTTAGTGAAGACAGATCTAGGTACAAGCCCTTTACACCTCAGACCCTGGAAAGTTCTACAATTGTCACACTTTTGTCATTTCACGTGAATATCTACGCGGCAATTGCTGGACAAAGGTTAGTGCTTGGGAAGTGTATAAGCCTGCTCAATAGGCAGACATCTCCTTTGACAACTCCTAACAGCAACAGTGCAAACCCACAACCGCTTCCGCGGCAGACTTTTTACCTGGTAAGTATGAAGAATTTCTAAAAAGGATCTGTAAATTTCTGGATGGTCAAGGAAACGCGTTTTGATCTTATTGACGTAACTGATAGCATTATTGAACTCTACAGAATCAGACTCCAAAGGAATTTGGGATTTATCTTCTTTGTACGGAAGCTGTTGCCTAAACTCCTCGGAACAGTCACTGTGATTGTGCGAATTCTCCTGGGAGTAATGCAGCAGCAGCCCACTGCCAGGGAGAGCGCTGGGCACAGGCTCTGAGGGCACCTGGTGGCAGAAGACACACCGTGACTTGTACAGAAACATAGGTGTGAGTTCAACTACAATCTAGCATCAGGATTTTCAAGCTGCATAGCTAAAAAAGATTACCACATAAAGAAAAAAGATTTAATTAGTCAATAAATTTCCTTACCTAGTTTATTAACACCATCAGTTAAAAAAAGTCCCATAAGTCGTATCTGGCTTATGAACCATCTGGCTCATTACCGCTTTTGACTGCATTATCCACGACACGCGAGAGGGTGTACCAAACCACACGCACTGCGGTTTCTGTTACCACTGTTTTATTTCAGAGGAACTGTCAGTTTTAAGAAAAATATTAAAACATAAGGCTCTTAAAGATGCTAAATTTCTAAGCAACAGAGAGATCCAAGGGAATTGAGATCTAAAAGATATTTACTGCTACTAATTAGGGTTAAACCACAAGTTTATCAGTAGAATTCAGGTAATGGCTCTATTTCAGCCTCCACAACCACACAACAACAAAGCAGCAGAGGCCAACGTGTATCCAACTGTATTGCAGCAGACGTCTCTCGTTGCAGGATATCGGCAACTGCATGGCAATCCCTGACATGTTATTTTTTGCCCATTGCCTACACACATTTCCCAATTTCTTAGTGGAAGACTGGAAACGTGACTCTTTCAGGATCTCTTTTTGAAATTTGTCACTGCACACATCACATACTGAGACTTTATATAAACATGTCAAATCAATTACAATTTCTTTTTTCAAACTTGCCTGAAGTATTTGAAGTTGCACTTCATGCAGGAAAATCATTCTTATGTAAGCTAAACTAACAACTGGTCTGAGAATAAATATTTAAATTTGTATTATACCCATTATCATAGACTTTGAAAACCATGTAAAAACTTTAGCAACATGCAATATGCATAAATGTACAGAGTCTAAACTGTGCAAGAGGCGAGTATAGTGACACATGTCACAGAATTTATTTAGCAAATATGAGCTCTGTAACCTACCTGACTATTCAAAGGTGACTGTATACTTAACTTCCCGTTCTTTGGAATTTCTATCCTATAGCCCAGAGGGAGGAAAGCATTGAATCCTACAATGAGGTCGGGATGCTCATGGAAAAGCTGTGAAACACGTCGGATCACCCCAGGTGTGTCAATGCTGAAATTGAGAAGAGGTTGTTACTTACGTCCAAATCAGAAACACAAGTTAAGCCTAGCAAATTACAGATGTATGTGAAGCACCTGGCTTCTTAGAGATGCCATTTTTTAACAAGCAAGTTTGGGAACCTCAGGCCTAGAAATCAGCCCAGGCCGAGGGAATCACCACTGCCAGCCCCGTACTGGGAGTGCTATCCACAGAGAGGAGACGTGAGTGTGCGGGCTGCCCAAAACGGGGAGACAGCCATCGCCTCTAGGGGTGACAGGTCACAGGGAGGCTCTGCACTCAAGCTTCTTCCCTTCTTTTCAAGATCTGCATTTCAAAGCAGGAAGCAACAATAGAATTAATTCCCTTTTCCTGTGGATTTCATCTCTGGGAAAGGATGGGATGGACACAGACCCTCTGGCTCCAGTGTCTAGTGACTGCACTACCGGGGGACAGGCCAGCAAGGTGGCTTGTGTGTCTGCGGAAGTGGAAAGATGGTGTGAAGGCCAAGAGACCCCGGCGAAGGCACAGAGACCCCCGCGAAGGCTGCGGAGCTCCCCGGAGCAGCCCTGGGGCGCAGGACCTGGGCTTTACCTCTGGCTCTTGAACTCTTTCATGATCTCCAGGAAGCCGTTGTAGGTGGCGGGGTCGCCGCCCAAGCGGGTCTTCACCTGGTCCAGGTAGGAGA